GAAAAGAAAAGAAAAGAAAAGAAAAGAAAAGAAAAGAAAAGAAAAGAAAAGAAAAGAAAAGAAAGGGGTAAGGGAGAGGGTTTCCCTCCACCAAGATCAAGGAGGAAGACTCAGGATGGATCTCCTGGAGTGGGCACACATGTGTCCCACCCCTGCCCCCATGTGTAAAGGGACTTGGTACTTCCCATGCCCTGCTGGCTGGAGGACAATGCAAAGCAGACCAGCCCCCTAGAACACCTGGGCTTCAAGGGCCTGGAAGATAGAAGTCTCACCCAGCCATGTTCTGAGGGCCCTGCATCCAGCCCTCCCAACCCAGCCAAGCTGCTAGAGGGAAGCAGTGGGCTACCCATCCCACACACCTAGTGCCATACCTGGCCTTGCTGCTATCACCCAGGACGTGGAGGCTGCAGCTGCATTGAGAGGGGCAGGAGCCCTGGGCTCGGGGGTGCTCCCAGAGGGCCAGGAGCCAGAGCATGCCCACTGCCACCCTCATGGCTCCTGGCTCCTCTGTAGCCCGGGCACGGGCCTGTCCCTGGACTGCTCTGTCGTCCCAACCCAGGAAGCCCAGCAGCTTCCCACTGGCTCATCAGCTCCCCCCCCTCCCCAGGCCATCAGATAAACACAGACAGACTGCAGATTAGGGAGGAGAGCCCTGGCCACAGCACTCAGCGGCTTATTGCTCCTGGAATCACCCAGTCCTAAGAGTGAGGGTGGAAGATCGTCTTCCGTAGCAACAGCCCCAGGCCCAGAGAGGCCAGGATGTGGTGAAGTGAGGCAGGTAGGCAGCCACCCAGGAGCAAGTGGCTCCTGGATAGGCCAGCTTGGCTGTCCACCTGCGAAGTCACCTCATGCCAGCTAGGCTGTGGGCTATGTGGACCCTGCCGGGGTGCCTGGGCTCCAAGAAGATGAAGACAGACCTGGGCTCTGATGAGGGCCATGGGCAGTTCTCTCCTGTGACACACTGTTCTATAGAGAAAAAGCAATGAGATGAAGGTGATAAAGGCACTAGAAAGAGACCAAGCTCGAGGGCCAGGCCAGCCTGGGTTCAAATCCCAGCTCTTCTGTTTACAGGCTGTGACCCTGGATAAGTTACACGGTCTCTCTTGGAGTCTGTGTCTTCCTCATTTGAAAAAGGGAAGTAATGTTACTCTATTCAGGGTGTTTATGAAAATTAAACCACTCAAGTTTCCCAGATTCTGATGGCCTACGGGAGTAGAAGCTCCCTCCTAAGTAGTAAGCACACAGTTTCATTGGCACTTACAAGCACCTTCTCCTAGAGGAATTGGGAAGATTCAGACACTTGGGGAGAGACCCCAGAGGTATGCCTTACGGACTCATGAACTTGCCCGTTCTGCTGAGCAAGCAGCTCTCTCCCTGATGCCCCCTGCACACCCAGTCTCAGAGCACAACGTCCAAGCCAAGCCCTTGTGGGCATTATCATCAATGCCAAAGGCATCAGGTCTCTGCATGAGGACAGAGAGCATCCCTCTCCTTGGGTTTTCATGCTCTGAGGAAAGTCCCAGAGCAGGATCTCACAGTTTTAAGAGAGAGTGCTTTTAGTTTTTACTGATTGTTACCTGCCTCCCATCATAGATCTCATTCCTTACTCATTCATTCATCACCTTTGACCCCCAGGCTCTGCTCTCTGGTCCAGCATATCCTATCTGGTTCCGTTAGCTTTTCCAGAAGGTTCCCTAGTGCCTAGGCCTAGGCAGGCCTAGACCCATGAGGTGTGGCCAAGACAGATACCTAGGGCTGCAGTGCACACATGAACTGCCTAGCTCTGTGCCAGGCCAGTTTTGACAATCTTGGCTTCTAGGAAATGTTGGTTCCCATCTCTTCCTCTCTTCCAATCCATTGATTTTCTCAATGCTTGCCACCTGTCCCTCCTCCTCCCCAAACCAAAAAGTGTGGCCCTTCTCATTCCCACATCTCTGCCTTTTCCTTCTTCTGTTGGAGATGTCTTCTCGTCCCTCTTTGCTCTAACTGAGCTCTGGTCTTGATTCCTGGCCCTGACCTGCTTTCCTGTCCCCCTTGAAGTCTTCCGCGATCTTGCAGGCATGAAAACAACTTGACACATGTATGAACCAGTAATGCAAGATAGAAATTAGGAAAAAGTATAACCAGGTTATCAAGAAAGTTTTCCAGGAGGATGTGAGCAAGCACTGTGAGGTGGTGGGGACCACTGGAGGAAAGGCATGGGAAATGAACATTTATGGAATAGAATGAGCTGCTTGACCCAGAGCTGGGGGACAGGAGACCAGGCTTTTGTTTCAGCTTAACTCACAAATTACTACATGACTTCAGGTCAATTCTTAACTGCTTTGAGCCTGTTCTCTCACATGAAATGCAAAGGATGACGGTATCTGGTTCATGGGATTGTAGTAGGAATCATCCTAAGATCAGTCAGCACAGAGCCTGGCTCGTAGTGGGGCCTCAATGTTAACTATATTGCTGATAGAGCCCCGGGCCTTGGATTCTTTATCTGAAAAGGAGTTAAATCACTCTAGACTAGTGTTTCCAGATGTTACACCATTGGCCAGTGTAACTTGGTACAGGGTAACTTGTAATAGGACCACATTTGTAGAAGCCAAAGCTCTTAGCGGGATCATGGGGCCACTAAGACAGCAGTCCCTCTGTCCCAAGCTAGTGCCTTTGGGAGATTTTTGCTCCTATGGCTTAAATGCCCTGTGGCAGTTGGGCAGTGCAGCCTGGAGGCCATATTCATGATGTGTTCTTCTGAGATTTAGGAAGGATGTTTACAGTGCAGAGGAGGAAACTGAGAAGACCCCGATGGTCCCACTCCAGCCCTGGCAGCTGGTTAATGGCAGGTTCAGAACCGCAACCTCAGTCACTAGTCCCAGTTGGGATTCATCATTCTTTTCCCAGTCGCTTGTGAGCACACGCATGGAAGGGCCTGGCTCCTGACCCAGTCTCAAGCACAGCTGCCGCTCAAATCCCTCTTTCTGCTCCCTACCCTTCCCTTGGTTATGCAACTCTTTTCTAATTTGGCTCTCAGCCACACACCATTTGGATCCTGGGACTTTAATCCTGCCTGATTGGGCCAAAATGAATGAGACAGGCTTCCATTCCCGCTTCACAAAGACTGCACTGTCCAACTGGTGAATGGGTTCCTTCTATTTGGGCCAAAAGCACAGTGTAGGGCAGGGGGCAGCAAGAAGGAGCCCAAGGTCTAGCATAATCACCTGCATGTGCCAGCACGTGGAATGGCCCTTTAAAAGGTGGGACTTGGTTTTGGCGAGCCAGAGAAGAGCTGGGCTGGCAGGGAGAAGGGCCAAGCATGGCAGAACCTGGGTCCCTGCCCACCGGCTTCGGGGAGCTGGAGGTGCTGGCTGTGGGGATGGTGCTGCTGGTAGAAGGTGAGCCAGGAAAGACCTGGGGTGGATCGGGCACCCAGTGGGCTCCCAGAACTCAGGTCACAGCCACGGAGCTGACAAGGAGAGGTCCCCAAACCCTGCTTCTCTGTGCCTCCACCCATGGGGCTTCTGATGGGTGCACCTGTGAGATGCAGGCTGCAGTCTGGGAGCCGAGAGAGAACAGGCCCAGGGAGTGAGGGACATCTGCCCAGAACATGACCAAGAACCAGGGTTCATGCCTTTTCATGTCCTTCCAGCTGGGGGAACATTTAATCCACTCCCCGGAAATCCTGCTAAGAATCCCATATAAGCTCAGGCCTCTGGGAGGCTCTGGAGACAGTCAGCTTTGTCACCTCCTCTTTGTGTGACTATAATCAGTTCAGCTGGGCTCTCTGACCCCAAGTGGGTGGTGGTGAAGGTTAGATGGGGTCTTGAGTGTGAAGTGCTGGCCTAGACAGACACTCAGGATTTAATTTCATTTGCCCCCATCCTCTCCAACCCCACGTTACTCCCACCATCTCTGTTCCCAGCCCTAAGCACTTGCATTCTAGGGGCCTCATGGGTCCATAAGGTGCCTGCCTCAGCCCAGAATCCCTGAGATACTTCCTGAGGCCAGAGTGAGGACTGTAGACCCTGGTGCTGGGACAGTCCATGACTAAGGTAATAGGGAACTCAGCCCTTTTCACAGCAGATCCAAAGAAATAATCAGCCCATTTCTCACCCAATGAGAGCTGATGGTGGAGAGGGAGTGGCAGCCACGGGGCTGGTCCTGGAGGTTCAGGACACAACTGTCTAGGGGCCCTGCCCCTTTTCCTCTCTTCTGGGAACTCTACAATCTAGCATCCCTCTCAGGCCTCAAATGTGCCTGGAAATTTTACAACATTAAGTCTTTGCACATACTGTTCCCTTTTTCTAGAATGCTCTTCCACACCTAACACTCGTAGTTTTGAAGGCAAGATTTTTCCCCACTCCTCCCTTCCAATGGGGAAGCCAGGGTTCAGAGACCAAAGGAGCAGCAAGTGGGTGACCAAGCTAAAACTAGGGGTCTGGTCTGCCTGAGGTCACCCTCTCGAACTCACCTCCTCGCCTGCTGCCCCAGGAAGCTCCTAGCTCTCCCCTCGACCCGCCTCTCCCAGGCTCTCCCTGACATTGCCGAACAGCCCTCAGAGTGGCATTTTGGAATTAAACAGACCTGAGTCTGAGTCCTAATTCTGCCACTCACCAGCTGTGTGATTAGGGCAGGTTAGCTAGTGTCCCTAAGCTTGTTTCCCAGCTGTACATGGGGGGGGGGGGCGGCGGGGGGGACAGGATGCTGGTGAAGCCTGAATGGGAGGATCCACAGAAAGTGCTCGGCCCTAGCCTATAAGTGTCAGCAGCTGTCGGTGACTGTGACCATTACAGCATGAACCATGCTGTACCTTATTGGTTTCTTCCTTATCTTTGAGTTGGGACGAGGCAGGATGTACATCTTCTGGCCTCTGGTGTCTGAGCGCCAGCCCTTCTCAGTGAGGTCTGACAATCTGCACTTACAAGGTTGCCGAGGCTCTGTCCACCCCAGGCCCCCAGTTCTGACCTCAGGCGGCCTCTCCAGCCCTGACGCCAGCCACCCCCTTCTTTTCAGCTCTCACCGGCCTCTGCCTCAATAGCCTCACCATCCTCTCTTTCTGCAAGACCCCGGAGCTGCGGACCCCCTCCCACCTGCTGGTGCTGAGCCTGGCTCTGGCGGACAGTGGGATCAGCCTGAATGCTCTCGTTGCGGCCACATCCAGCCTCCTCCGGTACCAGCCCCTCCCAGTCCCTGCTCTCAGAGGCCCAGCGTGGGGCCTGACCTCTGGGCACAGGGCAGCCAGCACAGAGGCACTCTTCCCACCTATGGAAAACTGTAGGGGAGAGGGTGGGCAGGCAGCACAAGGCTAAATCCGAGTTCCAGACTATCCCTGAAGAACCAGCGCTGATTTCTAGAACACAGGAGTCGCTTAAACCCCACCAACAGAGCTGGCTGACTATCGGAGCTGACTATCAAGAGCATGGGCCCTATAACCAGGCTGCCCAGATTGTGGAGTCCTGGCTTTCGTGTTTCTATCTCTTGGCTTCTTCTAGAAGTTGAATATTATTACCTAACTCATATGGTGGCTGGAAGTTTTAACTTGTTATTATGTGGAAATAACTTCAAATGAAGTGTGGTACCCAAAAAGCCCTACATAAGTGTTCGTAAAAGCAAACAGGATTTTTACAAGTGTCTAAAACCTCCTTATGTTCAAACTAGAATCTTTCAATATGGGTGTTGGGTGTTTCCAAGATTGTTTTTCTTAAGCGAACTGAGCATCCCTGCTCTGGTTTCAGGCTAACGGAAGCTGGAGTGCACCCGAGTATGCGTGCTCAGGGCTGACCAGTCTGTGGGGTCTGAATCAGTGAGGGTTCCTTGTCTTGATCTCTGCCTGCCCCTTCCCAGGCTCAGAGAGGAGAGCAACAATTGCTTGGCCTGTGGAGCTATGAGCTGGAACCCTGGGGTCTACCCTCTGGCTTAGTCTTCATCTGCTGTCTGACCTTGGTTCAGTACCTTTTCCTCTCTGCACCTCAGTTTCCCTATCTATAGAATAAAGGCGTGGGCTTTCCTGTTGACTATGATGTTCCATTTCCCATGCTGGAGGCTTCTGGCCACACGGAGAGACCCTTTGGTCCTACTGAGATGCAGGGACAGACACTGAGCCCAGGGGATTTGCACTGGGCTCCACCCATTCACCTTGGGGACTTGACCTCTGGGGCCTCTATTTCCTCTGGAAAAACAGACCATGAAGCCCCCTTCTGGCGAGCTGGACCAACATCCAGGAAGGTGGCCTCCAAGCTTCTGAGCGGCAGGTGTGGGAGATGGGCAGTGACAGAGGGAAGGGGTCACTGGTCCCAGTGTCTCCCACAGGCGCTGGCCCTATGGTTCCAACGGCTGCCAGGCTCATGGCTTCCAGGGCTTTGTGACGGCACTGGCCAGCATCTGCAGCAGCGCAGCCATCGCCTGGGGGCGCTATCACCACTACTGCACACGTACGTCTTTGGGTTCCCGGAGTGAAGGGACATTTACACAGCGAGGGCGGTCAGGACAAAGGTCTACACTGTGTTTCCCAGTCCAGGGGGAACTCCAGGGGAGTGTGGGTGGGTGTGCGTGTCCATGAGTGTGTGACAGGGGCATTAGGGAAAGGAGGGAGGCAGGGAGAGCAGACAAGAAAGGAGCTGAGGCATATGCCAGAAAGGCTGCCTGTGCCCTCAATGCAGCCTCAGGCAAGTCAGGAGTCCTCTCTGAACCTTAGTCTCCTCTAAAAGCAGATTTTTGTAACCAATCTCCTAGTTGTTGAACTTCAAATGTGATCATGGATACAGAAAATGCTCTTGCAGACAGGCAGTGAGTGTGTGGGGGGGGTGTGGGTGCGTGGGTGGCTGGCATGTGTCCCTGGGGCCTCTGCCGTGCCAAGGCGTCATGAAGACTAGTCTGGCTCTAGATTTCCTGAGCTGTATTGTCAAATATCACCTTCATAATTGGCCACATCCGTGTACCACCTGCTCTATTATTTACGTGATTTTTTTCTTAAAAGTGATTCACCTTAAAAAATTTAAACACTTGCTTTAGTCTCATCCTCAACAATATCTGTGAAATCACAACTGTGATGTTCTTATAATTTTAGCACACATTAAAATAAAAAACATTTTCCCCCACAGATCATCGAGAAACCCACTCACCGCCAGTGATAAGTGAGCATACTTTGGGGAGCTGTGACTCAGCTCACCCTCACTGCAAACCCCCAACTTGCCGACTGGGAAGCAGAAGCTCAGAGAAGTTAAATAGCTTTCCTAGAGTCACACAGCTTGTAAAGGTAGAGCTGGGATGGGTATGGCCTGGACGCCTCCCCGGGGTTCGCTCCCATTGTCTGCTGGGCCCCAAGTTCTGAGCTGTGGCTCTGCCTGGCATGGAGGCTACTGCTGTGGTGGCCATGGCCAGTGTGGCCTGAAGCACTGGGCATGGCCCCTTTGGAATCTGCAGATCTGCCCTCGCCACACACGCATAGTCCCCTGTCCTTGGCAAAGCCACACACCTCTCTCCAGGCCAAAAAAATTGCCTTTGTTCTTACCATTTCTAGTGCCACGTTAGCCCCGCCTCCCCCAGCTGACCATGGAGCTCCTCCCCCGCCACCCCCATCCCAACCCAGCCCCCAAAGCTCCCTCAGGCCATTGTGCATGCACACACACACACACACACACACACACACACACACATGCACTCACACATGTGCACATATACAATGCATAACAGCAACAGGCTTCTCCACCTCAATAGAGAGTGGTTAGTCTCTATCCAGGGGTCCCTAGAGCAAAGCCTTTCCTGTGCTGGAGGGCACCGTGGAGCAATATGAAAACAGGGAAGGGGAAAGGAGGGCGTCTGAACTTATCTACTCCATACTGGGTGACCCTGGGCATGTCACCTCGGTCAGCTGTTTCCACAAGCAAAAAAGCAACACATGGGTCATGGTAGGTATTAATTATTGTATCCAAAGTTAGGAGGAGAGTTGTCTTAGTCAGCTCAGGCTGCCACGACAATATATCATACATTGGATGCTTAAGCAACAGAAATGTATCTCTCACCATTCTGGATGCCAGGAGTCAGAGATCAGGGCACCAGCACAGTTGGGTTCTGGTGAGAGCCATCTTCCTGGATTACAGACAGTCGCCTTCTTGCTGAGTCATCACATGGAGAAGACAGATCATCTGTCTTAAGGGAAATGATCCCATCATGGGGGCTCCACCCTCATGACCTAATTACCTTCCAAAGGCTCCACCCCCAAATACCATCACACAGGGATGAGGGCTTCCACATATGAGTTTGGTGGGAACCTAAACATTCAGTCCATAGCAGCGGATGACACTCAAGCAAACTGCATCTGGGGCTGTATCAATGGAAGTAAAGGGTCAAGATGAGGGATGTTGTAGACCTGTTCTTCTCTGTTGATCAAATCCCACATGGACTCCTGCCTTCTGCCCTGCTGGGGTCTTGTCTACAAAAGAACATGACAAATAAACCATATACAAAGGAGACTCAAGGGGAAGGCATTCTGAAGGTAGGTCCAGGAGGAAGCACTGGATAGGAAGGGCTGGATCAGCCTGCAGCAGAGAGGGGACATGGAAGAGGTCAGGTCAGTGAGACTGGCCATGTCAAAAAATGCTGCTAGGACCAAGACCCTGTTACTGGCACTGAGACAGGACCCTAAGCCCCAAGTCAAGAGTCCTCTGAGGGTATCTTGGAAGCAGAGACAGTGGCCTGCTTCTGGGTAACAGCTCAGGATGGTGATACGTCCAGCCTTCTGCCTCCCTCCCTCATGACCCTCACCTGAACCACTGCCCATGCTTCTTCACTAAGTTGGTTTAGGAAAACACACCTATGTCTTTGCTACTCCCTCCTTTTTTGTCCCCTAAAGAAGACAGAATAGAGTATCTACCAGGAGACCTTCACCACCTATTATCTCTTTTATTCTCTATAACAATCTTCTGAGGTAAGGATTATCACTCCCCTTTTGTGGAGGAGAAAATGGAGGCTCAGAGAAACTTTTAACTTGCCTGAGGCACTAAGCTAGTGAGCATCAGAGCCAAGATTTAGGAACATTTTGTGTGACCATGAAGTCTGTTCTTTTTCACTCTGCCTAGCTCAACCCTCCTCCTCCTCTCTCCCATTCAGGAAGCCAACTGGCATGGAACACGGCCATCTCCTTGGTGATATGTGTGTGGCTGTCTTCTGCCTTCTGGGCAGCACTGCCCCTCCTGGGCTGGGGCCACTATGACTATGAGCCACTGGGGACATGCTGCACCCTGGACTACTCCAGGGGGGACAGGTGAGGTGTGAGGAGCGGCTTCAAGTCTCCCTTCCTTGGGAACATTTCTTTGAGTCCTTATAACAGCAGTGTCACAGCTGAAAATCCAATGGGGAAGTGTCAACATTGGCCAGTCAATCTCAACTCCTTAGTCATGACACTCACTTACTAGTGGACAATAGAACTGTGGCAAGCCCATTCTGAAGGCTGACCAAGTGATGGGCATGTTATACAAGTTGGGGTGTAGAGTGTATGTACCCAAGAGGGGGCATTACCCAGTGAGCTGTTGGCCTATGTCAGTTACAACAGCCTGAACTGTTACAACTGAGCCCCATGACCCCTTCACCATCTTCAACATGGTCAGTTGTCCCAGCTCTGACCTGACCAGTTTCTAGTGGGAGCCATGTCCTTGTTCAATTGACTCAAAAAATGTTAAGGTCTTTGCATTGGGAGGGACCTCCTTGGCATAGAGTTCAGTTCTCAGAATTTCCTGAGCATCTACTGTGAACCAACCCTTGGACCTAGTCATAGGAGACAAAATTGATGCATGATGGCCTCCACCATCATGGAGCATATGTCTAGTACTGCACCAACCACAAGGCTCTGGGGACACCAGGACTTAAGGAAACCCTTTAGGGGACACCTTAGGGAAGTGTCACGTGGGATCCAGCCTCCCTCTTGCTTCTACTAGGACCATGTTGCATTCATCTGCTTTCCATGTTTACTATGTTTACTCATGAAATGCCTGCCCCTGATGACAGTCTTTCCAGGTGAAATGTACTTGAGGACCCAAGGTCTGGTCCAAGTGTCCCTCCAGGGTGCTCCCTACAGATATCTCCCCAACCAGTGTCCCTTCCTCTGGCGGCCCTTCCTCCTACCCCTCCTTAGTGGGCAGCACCAAGGTAACATGGTCTCCCCTAGCAGAATGGGAATCTACCTTCTTGTGACTCCCACCTGTTTCTGGTCAGTCCTCTCACCTCCCCATGACCCTACCTAGACACCAGGCTCTCCTGGCATCCCTTCAATGACACAGCATCCAGTCTCCTTCTCATCTGCAGACCCCTTTCAAATCCCTCTGCCAGGAACACTCTTTGAATGATCCTTCCTCTTGGCCCATTGATGTATCTTCCATTTGATAAACATGTTTCCCATTCTCCATGCTTGGGGCACATACTGAGAACAAGACTGAGCACTTGAACTACCCAACAGCAAGCTGAAGGAGGACTCTCCCTCATTTCAGCTCTCTGGCTCCTAAAGGCAAGTTCGAGGAGGACCCAGTGGGTCCCTGTCTCTAAGGGGAGTTCATCTGGGACCCGGGAACGACCATACTCTGAGCACTTGTCTGATGAGAGCAGTTCCCCACATTTGACTGTCTAGTGCAAACGCCGATGAGCCTTCCCTGAGAGATGGTCCTGACTCCTCTACCTACCCTGCCTGCAGAAACTTCACCAGCTTCCTCTTCACCATGGCTTTTTTCAACTTCTTCCTGCCTCTCTCCATCACGTTCATATCCTATCGGCTCATGGAACAGAAACTCAGGAAAACTGGCCACCTCCAGGTAAGGACCAGTTCCCTCTCTTTGTCCCTCTCAGGGAACATGAGTGATGTAAGAGACAGTGGTGAGGGGTTTTCTGTTTTCAGTGATCGGGAGAAAATGCAGCTTTCCCAGAGCTTGGGGGGTTAGAGCAGGAATGCACCCTCCCCACTGCTGGGCATCGCCAAGACCCGAGAGGAAGGGTCAGGACTGCTGGGACTCACCAGACCCCATAACCTTGAGCCAGGGCACCCTGCTGGACGCCATCCATGCTGTCACCTTTCATTGTTCCCAAGAATTCAAAGGTTGGCACAAAATAACATGTTTTTCAAATGCTTCTTTTAAGTTGCTCCCAAGATGTCTAATTTACCCTCAACATAAAATCACACCTGCAAGCACATTTATCCAAGAAAAATAATTCTTCAGAATAAGCTCTCCTGGTCATTTCTGAATCTCTGCATTAATATTCCCTCTCCACAATTTTCTTTTGTCACCAGGACAACCTCAGCAGATGAGCCTTAACAAGCACTGAAATTTCAAAAAAAAATCAGATACTAATACTATTTTTCTGTGCATTCCGCCATTCCATAGCTTTGCAACCACTCTCAAAGGAAGGCTTTGTTATCACTATGTCACAGGGTAGAAAATTGAGGCTGTAAGGGTCTCTTAAGTAGGTAGCTACAAGCTTCGAAACTAGTAATAACAGAATTGGATGAAACCCATCTCTGGGACTCCATGACCCAATTTATCGGAGGTTCACTCGGCCAAGACACAGGGCTGCCACACCGATTTTCTTTTTTCCTGCCTGACTTGAAACCATCAGTTCCGGTAGCATCAGGAGAGGTCGCTGTGCGTGGGCACAGGGACCTCGGCCATGAGCAGAGAGGTTTCCAGGTGACACTCCTTGGCCCCGCCCCACGAGGCCTTGGCCCCGCCCCAGGAGGCCTTCTGGCAATGCGAAGCATCTTTTTTGCTTTTTTCTTCTCCTTTCCTTTCTTTTCTTTCTCTTTTTAAATGAGGGGCAATTCAAGAAAAAAAATGTCTCCCAACTAACATTTTTATTCCATGAAAAAATGTGTCCTCTTTCAACTTAAGTCACCTCCTTTCTTAAAGGGCGATGCGGTCAAAGAGAAAATAGGCACTGATGTTGAGCTTCAGCTTTTTAACATCTGAGTGTGAGGGGGAAGCAGACAACTTTCATCCTGAAATTAGATCTCAAGTCGTGCGCCTTCTTGTGGCCGTAGATGGCATCACAGGGTCTGCTCCCTGGTTTTGTCTCCTACCTTTGAAAGCCACTTTGACCCCAGGACAGGTTGACCCACCAGCTGGCTGAAGCTGCTGATGGCTGATGGTGAGCTGGTTCTGGGATTGAGGTGTGGGAGCAGCTCAGCCTGGGGAGCCTCATTCACACACCAACACTCCGGCAGCCTGGGGTTCCTCAAAAAGAGCACAGACCAGGAAGGAAACTCATCATCTGCCCCTTAGTCCCCCTCCAGGTAAGTCAAGCATGATCAAGCCATGTTACAGACAAGGCAAATGAGGCCAAGTAAGCTTTGATGACAGGCTTAGGGTCCCACGGCTTGCTCGCCAGAGAGGGCCATCGGGCCCCACAGCCTGATCACACTGCCCAGGCCTGCTGAGTGCCCACTGGTCCCTACGCATGTGGGGCTGCGGCCACCTGAAGCAAGTCAACGCCTTCCTCCCGTGACTCTCTCTCCTCAGGTGAACACCACTCTGCCAGCCAGGACGCTGCTGTTCGGCTGGGGCCCCTATGCCCTCCTGTATCTCTATGCCACCATCGCGGATGTGAGCTCCATCTCCCCCAAGCTGCAAATGGTACAGACACCTCCGGCGCCCCAACTTAGAACTCTCTCCATCACTGTGTCTCTCTGTCTCGCCCCATCTCTCCCTCCTGCCTTATGGCCTCCTGGGAGTCTCTTTCTCTCTTCCTTTGAACACTCATAATGCACTGGGAATACGCTTGTCTCCTGGGTCTCACGGGGCTACTGCTTGGCATTGCCTAGGCCTCCTGTGAGTGACAGGGGCAGCCAGACTCCAGGACCGAGGCTGAGACCAGTGCTCCGGGAGGCGTGTTTCCATGCATCACCTGCCATCTGGTCAAGGAAGCCTTACGATTTGCAGAATCGGGCCAAGGACCGATGACCGGTGGCTGCGGTGGGGGATGGGGGCCATGGCGGGGCTGGAGTCATTAAGTGGGACCAGGGAGAGGAGGCGAGGCTGTGAAGCTTCTTCCCTGAACTGTTCTGTCACAACAGGTGCCAGCTCTTGTTGCCAAAACGGTGCCCACGATCAATGCCATCAACTATGCCCTGGGCAGTGAGATGGTCCACAGGGGGATCTGGCAGTGCCTCTCACCTCAGAGAAGCGGGCTGGACCGAGCACGGTGAAGTTCTCCGTGGGGCTTCTCAGACCCAGGCCCACCCCTGACTCCCTGGACTGAGCCCTGTGTGAGAAGGCTGCCCCGGAGCCCTGCCCAGCAGCCTCAGAAGCCAAGCTCCAGACTCGTCCACCACCCCGGATGGCCCTATTGGGCCTGGGCCCAGGTCTGACACAGGGGATTCAGAGAGCGACCAGGCTGCGTGGGAGGAGCTGGGACTTTGGAGCCAGACAGACCCGAGTGTCCGTCACAGCCCTCCAGACAGAGGCTGAGAGACCTTGGGAAGTCACTCCCTCTGACCTGAGCTTCCTGAGCCGTAACATAAGGCCTCCACGGGGCTGCTGTGAGGCTTACGCAAGATAATGTGTACTCACCATGCACATAGAAACTCCTCAAAACAGCTGTCTGGGCTCCGAGTCTCCCATAGAAAGGGGTGAAAGCCCCAGGTTACGTGTGGGAGAGCAACCCAGGCTGTTAGCACTCAAATGCCACTTATTAAATTGAGATCTGATGCCCGTGACTGAGTCTGTCTGTGCATCTGTTTCCCAGCTTGTGAGATGTGATGACAGAAATGGTGACTTCACCATGCAGAAAGGACCAGAACATTACCTGGCACATTAAGTGCTCACTGAGAGTTAGTCACCAGCACCTGCCAGTCGAAGACGGCTAGCTGCATGTTACTTCGCTGCCAACATTAACATTCAAGACAATTTATTTAAAAGTCCAGATGTCTGAAGATGAAGCCCCACCACCCTGGAAGAGGTTCCATGGTGATAGTTTGTATAGCTCAGGGCAGCTCTGTCCCAGCGCCCAGGGCTCGTTCCCTATCGCCAGCTGTAGCTTTATATTCCCTGCAGAGCTTGTGACAGTGATGCTGGGGTCCCCTCCGTGGATGTACATCTGCACCTCCAGCAGAGCCAGCATTTGAGGGACAAGGGGTGGCAGGTGCACAGACCTGGGTGGGACCCATTGCCTTAGAGGGAAGTGGAGATGGTTGGCAGGGAGACGGTGGATCTACAGAGGATCTGATGACGGAGAGCCAGCTGCCCCAGGCACCTCGGATGCAAGAAGGATGAAAGCCTGGCTGCTGAGCAGGGAAGGGACAGGTTTGGGGGGGGGGGGATCGCGTGGTCATGAGAACAGCACCTGAGGTCCCTGTGCACCAGGACCTGCCTCTCAGCTTTGCAGATGCAGAAAATCAGGCCACATAAACATAACTCACGAGAAGTCTGCTCCAAACAGAGGCCAGTTCGGTCATGTTGTGAAACCAGGTGGAGTCGGGGAGGGGAACGACCTTCCCACAGCTGTTTCCCAGACCATGCCCTGTGCCCAGTGCTGTCGAGACAAGATGCCACTCAGCCTCACTCCAACGACCAGTCGGAGTCCCTGTCTTCGGTCCCAGAGTGGGGACTGATAGGGGAAATCCTGGGGCCTGCTGGGCTCACACAGGCTGAGTGAGGTGGCTGCAAAAGTGAGTGTCCAGAGCCCAGAGATTCTGACCCTGCCCCCACTGCCCATGGATCCTTAAATTGTCTTTATTGGGGACCCACTCTTCACTCCACTGTTATAGACACTAATCTTGTAAGGTGGGACAAGAGAACACAGAAGAGAAGGGAGGTGACTCCTAGACTCAGAGAGAGAAGGCAGGGGGAGATGAAGAGGCTGAAGATGCCCGGCAAGAGTGGCCAGTGTCCCTAACAGATCCTGCCCACCTGTGACCAAAAAAGTGGGGGGGAATGCACACTGGGCACACATGGTCAAGGTCGCCTGTAGCTCAAACCCTGCACCCCTAGCCTGTGTAGAGCGGGGAAGGTGGGCTCGGGGCCTCTCCACCCTGCGCTGGGTTGGCAGGCAGGGGCTGAGGCGGCACCCCATGGGGAATGACCAAAGCCCCAAGTCTACCCACATCCCCGCCGCTCACTCATGGAATGGGTCACCTTTGAGCTTTTGTGCCCATGTCCCAGAGCACTGCAGGGCCTCGAGTCCTTGTGAACACTGTGTGCAGGGCCTCTCCTCTGCCCTCCGTGCCACCCCCCTCCAGCATCCTGCCCCTGGGACCCGAGGGACGAGGGAGTTGGGTCCTGCCCGACACCCATTTCCCTGCAAGCCTTGGCACGGGCACTGAGACAGGAGTCAGAGCCAGGCCCCAGAAGGCGGTCAGCACCTAAACATTGTTAGGGCACAGCCCCCAAAGCCCTGCAACCTCCTGAGCCTCCCTTCGCTCTGCCTGCCCCCACCCAGCCCCACTCAGCCCCCAGATTGCTGATTTTCTAGGGTGAACGCGTATCACTTCTATTGTCAGGAGAACATACGAAGAAAGCAGTTACTCTGTCTCCATGAAGTGTTTGTTTCCTGGCCCCTTCTGGTCATTGATTTTGGTGACGGTCCCTCCCCACCGTCTTGGCTTTCCTCTCCCCTCAGTCTCCTGTTGAGCAGTGTCTAACCCAGGCCCCTTTCCTCTGTTCACTTACGTGGCCACTAGTGCCACTAGTAGGGACAGTGCCCTGCTCCTCCCACACAGACACAATGGACTTTGGGGGACATGCCAGCCTGCCCCCCAGGGCTCACACCATCCATCACTGGTGACATCATGCTGTCCCCAAGTTCCTGCATGCCAGGGGAACTGGAAACATGGTGCCCAGGGCAACAGGCGCAAGGAGACACTGTGTCTGAGTCAGACACTGTGCTGATGGAGTGATACGGGCCTGAGATCCTTTCCAGCCACCTCAGCCTCCTTATCTCCTTCTGGCCTTTGTGAGTAAACCCTGTGCCAATGTGGCTGAGAAGTCAAAAGCAGAGATTAGGGTCCAGCTGTGTCCAAGTAAGTGGAATCAGACATAGTAATAAGCACTATCAACATTGCCCAGAAGTTTTTCTCAGAATCCCTGCAATTCCCTATGTCGAAACTAAACTCTTTTCCCTCGTTCTAGACAAATTAAACATGCCCTCTGAGCTTCACGGTATGCCTGGTTTGATCGTGTGTTTCAACAGAATTGCCACCCACTGACTTTGAACGTGCGGAGCATTTCAGCCCCGTTCTGTATTTTCGAAGTTTCTGTGGTTGACTTGGTAACCTGTATGTCACCATCATTTTTAAAATGAGGTTTCCTACAGGAACTTTAAGACAGAAAACAGATGAACATAAGGGAAGGGAAGCCAAAATAATATAAAAACAGGGAGAGGGACAAAACATAAGAGACTTAATTACAGAGAACAAACAGAGGGTTGCTGGAGGGAGCGTGGGAGGGGGGAGGGGCTAAATGGGTAAGGAACATTAAGGAATGTACTCCTCAAAACATTGCACTATATGCTAACAAACTTGGATGTAAATTGAAAAAATAAAATAAAATAAAATAAAATAAACAAAAAAATAAAATAAAAACAAAATAAAATGTAGCCTACTGGGGTGGAGAGCCACATGCATGCCCTCGTGTGTGGTGATGAGGCTCCAGCGCTACCATCAGGGTGGCCCTGGGTGAATCACAAGCCTTTTCTGGCCCATCCCTTCCACCTTCTCGATTTGACCAGGCTCTGACAAAGGCAGAAGATTTTCAGACACTATCAAAAGTCTCTTTTTCAAACAAGATGTGTGGTATGGATTCTATGTTTTTGTCCCCCCTAAAATTCATATGCTAAAGCCATAACCCCCAATGTGGCTTATATCTGAAGGTAAGTCTTTACAGACATGATTAACTGAGGTCATAAGGGTAGGGCCCCGATCTAATAGGACTCATGTCTTCTTAAGAAGGGATACCAGAGATTTTTCTCTCTCCTCTCTACCCTGAGCATATGCATCAAGGAGACGCCATGTGAGGACACAGTGAGAAGATGAATGTCTGCACGCCTAGGGGAGAGCTCTCACCAGACACTGGCCCTGACGACACCTTGACCTTGGACATCTACCTCCAGAACTATGAGACAATAAATTTCTGTTGCTTAAGCCACCCAGCCTGTGGTATTTTGTTACAGCGGCCAGAGCTGACTAATACAATGTTTCACCAAAGCTCATTGTTTAAAACAGATGACAGCAGGGGGGATGGAGTGCCTGGCTGGGCCGCCGGTCCCCAGCACCCAGAGTACCCATCCAGTCTCACTTCTGCAGAACCTGGAATTGTATGAAACTCAATTTATAAGGCACAAAATTTGTTTTCTAAGATCACCTACCATTCTCAGATTCATTTATTTCAGTGTTTCTTTTTGCAAAGAAATTTAAGTACATTAGAATAATACTCCCCACCCCACCCCCTCTTCTTGCTGGGAAAGACGGCTCTGCCTCCTGACAAATGGACTTGAATAAAGTCACAAGCAGAGGAGCAAGTTACCTCTGAGGTATAGGAATGTACAGTCCCTGGCCTCCTCCCCCAAAGTCCCCACTGGGACAATTTTTCTGGGGAGGGGAGGGACTGTGTGCCTGATTAACACAAAAAGAAATGTAATTATAGCCTAAACTGTGGTCTCTATTTTTGTTTAAAAGTAAGGAGGTTTTTTGCAAATTTTCTACAAAGAGAAATAAATTCAATAGCAAGTTAGTAGGCCTACTTTATGTATATCTTTCTCCTTGCCAGAGAACTGATAGGATTTCTGTTGTTTTCCCTGTTAGAGACACTCTTGGTTCAATTTACCAGGAGTAAATTGAACCTGGTTCAAATACACGCTTACTCTCCCTCGCATAAAACTGCCTCCAGTATTATTTTCCCTATCTCTGTAAAGGGCATTACTTTCTGTCCTGTCATAGAAGCTAAATGAAGAGGGGGAATAAAGCAAAGATCTGATATGCATAGATCTTGAGTAGGTTAGGACAGCGCAGTGCCTAGCTTTTACCACAAGGTGGCAGTGCTAACTCAATGATAAACTGATCCTGCGCCGCAGCCGCGGAGGTGCCTTTCAGGAGAGCCTGGGAATTCCCTGGTGAGTCCATATGGAGGAATTTTTTATTCCTGCAGGATCTCAGGCAAGCTTTCTTTTCTGCTCTTGGTACAGAAGCCTGATGTGTAGCTGTTTTTTTTACCT